GATAATCATCGTAATGGTAATAATAAGAATAATCGTTAATGATAATCATAGTCGTAGTGTGTCTATACGTACGGTTTGTCATGTATATGTTTATATAAACAAATATAATTATGCTTATCTCGTAAGAAGGGATAGAGTTTACAGTGGCGCTAAACAATGTATGCAATGCAGTTCGCTTTTTTTTTTCCTCTGTCATCGTATTTTCCTTCATCAAGATTTCTCCTTCATTAAATTTCTCGTTTCGATAAGGTTGTACAGTCGAAGATCTTAGGAATAAGATTTCTCGTAATAGTAAAGAGATTATAGTAAACGTGCGTATGTACAGTTCTTTTTATCGTTGAATGCCATTCGTCGAATGCCGCAAATATTAGTTTCGATGACGATTCGTGGAGCCCGTCGTGCGCCGGATACACCCGTCAAAATATCGTTAAACGCAAATCACGCTCCGACGTTTGCTTGCAATGTTCATTTAATCTTCTTAAGAAGTGTATCCGTCGGACGATCAGCTCGCTAAACTGACGAGAGAAACCAAGTCTAAGGCTACGATTCCCCTGGAAAAATTGTTTAAAATCGCGACTCCCTGTCTCGCGTTTGCCCGATCAACCACCGTCCCGTTTGTTTCATCACGTCTGATTCTGCGAATTGATTCAGCGTTACATCCCTTTTCCCCGGAAGGCAGTCTCGTTCGCGCGCGTAGGGAACAAGGAAAAAAGAAAATGGAATAAGTAGCCTACGAATCGCGGTTCATAATCGTTCGCCCTTCCGCCACGACTTCAACCCCTTGCCCCCTGTTCTCTTATTTTTTTTATCTCTACTCCGGTTTGGTTGTTGATTCGATATGTACAATACTATTACCGATATAAAATTATAGTGCATCACAAATCGCGGGTAGCAAGCAGTCAATGACATTTAACGATAATTACAAAATAATGGTGAGACCGTGTGGTATATAAATATATACACACACGTGCGCACACAGACTCCTTTTATTAATATATCTTTCGCCTGGTCGGCGATTCGTACACGACGGTCAATCGTGGTAGGTACATAAAAGTGGTTTCCTTCGATCAGTAATAATCGTTCCAAGCACGTTGGAAGCTTCTCGTCATCGGATTCAATAACATGTATACAAGGAAAGTTAGAGCAATCGCAGCAGAATGGACACAGTTTCATTTATAATTTCTACTGGCTTTTCTCCTCGTGTCTCTGTGTGTGTGTATGTGTGTGTGTGTGTATGTGTGCGCCCGTGTATATATGTATACAGAGAGAGAGAGAGATGAGAGAATGCAGTATGTAACTTAACTCGGCACGTATACATATCGTATGCTTATATACATGTATATTACCGTCTATAAGTGATCGCAAAATTTCTGTTCCCCGAGTGTGCGCCATCGTATCGAGTTGTACGCGCCAATGAGGCTATTGTATTGCTTGTCGATAATCCGAAAGAGGTTCATTCATTTTTTTCTTTTTTTTTTTTTCCCGGCAGACAGAACTCGGAGAGTCGATAAAAGTGTTCGAAAAAACAATTCGTCTTTTATTTGAAAACGCAGCGTGTATTATCAGTGTTTCGATGATTGAAGGAATGAGAACTCCGTAAAAAAAAAAAGAGAAGAGGAAACAAAAACAGATTGATCATATTTGTTCTTGCACTGTGTTCTCAAAAATTGAAACGCGTTTAACCACGTCGGTTTGTTTGTTCCTTTCTTTTTTATTAAAGCGTGTACACATGTGGTTGTTTGATGATAAATTCGAACGAGTCGCAGATGCCCTCGATATTAATATCTGTTCGTTTTCTATCTGTTCCTCTCCGCTCCGCCGCACCTCCGGCTTATTCCTTCTTATCGAAAAATCTAGATTCTAAACATCGACGCATATGACTTCGGTTGGCGCTACAAATCGCGGGACAACATCAGACAGAAATAGAAATAGAGATATAAAGAGAGATTAGAGAAAAAGAGTGCGTGTCTTTGAAAAATGTAGATAAAATGGTAAAATCCCCGTTCAGCTTCTTCTCTTTGTTTTATACTCGTTTGCTCGTTATCACGGAGGGACAAAAAAGTTACCTCTCGCACGACTTCGTAACAATCTAAGAGATCGCCAGTCCACCCCTCGCTCCTCGATTTCCCGATCGACTTTCTCTAATCGCAATTACGCGTCGCTAATCGAAACACGCAGGATTACATCACGCTTTGCTATCGGGTCAATTACACATTCGTTTCCCTCGGTTGCATGCGTTCAACCGTTCATTTAGAAGATGCTAATATCTTACTGTCGGCCGAAGTAGAAGCGACAACAACCCGCGATGTAATCGCGAGTGTCCGCCTATCGTATTATAAAGTTACATACATATCGTTTTAATGTTAATTATACCCGTACTTTCTCGTAAAACGATGAGATTCTCAGAATTCCAGAGAAATAATAAACGTAGATCGATCCGGGGACGCTCGAGAGGATGTACCAGTGGACGCGCACATAAGTCTAAGAGAAAGGCTTTGGGCTCGACCCCAATTGTAAGCTTAACGATATACACGCTTCTACGTTATAATACAATTCTCGCATTTCTTTGTTTCGTCATCGCCGAGCGTGCGTCCCGTTCGCCGCGTCGCCTGCTCATCTCTGGTCGCTTAGAAAAAACGTGCGAAGAAGGATGAATTCGATAAGTTCGTTGGACTTGCGATATTTACTTAATAATCGATAGAATGAGAGGTCGACCGTGGGGAAAGAGACGCATCGCGTCAACGAGCAACGGATCTTATCGTTACGAAAACGAGCACGGCTCGGACTCGATCCTGAAACTGTTCTAAACGGAACGTTTCTCTCTTCGACGACGCAACGATTCGCCGCCTGCTCGTCTTATAACGCTCGCATTTCACTCGACGAAGATCGAAACGGACGACTAAGTTTGATAATTTTGTTCGCGTCAGGATCGACGCGTCTCGGGATTGACGATGATCGACGCGCGTTCAACGTCGTCGTCGATCCTCCACGGACGCCATCCGAGCCGTTCTACAAGGTTCTCTCAACGTTCTCCATATACCGTTTTAATTTTATTTATCTTTATTTAAATTTTAAACTATTTAAAAAGATCTCTACGATACGATACATGTTAAGATCAAGACGCTCGCACAAATATATATGTACATATATGTTTTCTCCATTGCTCTCGTCTCAAAGAGGCGGCTGCATAAAAACGTACGTTGGGACACGGTTCGCGTTTCAGGAATCATATTCAAATTCTGTTTTCTGTCTGTTTCATCATATCGTTTTGCGATTGCTTCTTTTGATTACCCTCTCACTACCACTCGATATAAAAAAATCGCTTCGTTAAACAAGGGCCCCGATAAGAAAATTCGTCGGCCAATCGATCATCGTTCTAGCTAACGTGCGTTCTCTATCCTCCTCCTCCTCCTCCTCATCTTCTTCTCGTTTGTGTTTTGAGCGCAATCAGGTAATGATAACGATTAAATATACTACACTGTACGTATGCGGAACAACGGTAATTAATGATAAAAGTCGACTAGCAATTGTGCCGTTGACGCTTCAACACGTCTTAATTACAGGGTATTGCCATAGATGTCTTATTTAAACTGTACACGATCCCTCTCTCCCCTCGTACAGAGAGGTCGCACCCGAGTCTACCCACCTCTCATTCCTCTCGCGTATTACCTACGATAAGTTACACGATACGAAAATTAAATCGACTCCGTCCGGTCGACGAGAAACTCTTTGGGCGAAAAGAACAGTTCAGTTTTGGAACAACGATTATCCGCAAGAAATCAGAAGTGGTTCATCGTGTAATGGCGGTGAGGATCGAAACGAACGGACGAACCAAGAAATAAATAATCGCGAACGAAAACGCGATAAGAAGGGCCTACTGGCTTCGCTATAAGTTTCTACGACTAGTGGGTCTCCCGGTTATGCATACGTCCTGAATCACCATTATCGTGTCACCCTCGTCGTAACGCAGCTGAAACGACCGTCGCAATGTTAAACAGCAGTAACAGGCAATATACAGTCACGTATATTAACTTTACCAACGGCCATCCCACAATTCGTCTCACAACATTCCGCTCGCGGGGGGGGGGGGGGGTGTGGTGGTTTTATGGGGTTAAAGAAAAACACTCACTCACACATCTCTTCTTACTTTCGATAGTGGCGATGCGAGAATCGTTAAATAGCGTCGGTAACGGTCCTCCGTTTTCTCTTTAACGGTAACGATAATAATTAATAGGAATAGTAAACGTAATCGCAATATAATAACGATAATAATAATAATAATAATAATAATAATAATAATAATAATAATAATAATAATAATAATAATAGTGACAGTTATACCAATAATCATACACGATGGCAATATAATAAAATAAGTAATAGTAACCGTATCTCACGATGATCCGTAATATAATAATTATAATAATAGTTAATTAACGCTATGCCGTATATTTAATATTTATATTTATATATTTATATTATTTATAGCTGTATATTATACATATATAGTTGTATTTCATTATTATTTAACACATTCTTTTGTATAAGTAAATCAATTAAGAATAAGTACAACTTGGTAGCAAAGAGAGATAGAATTATGTTATATTCACTGTAAATCTTTATCCACATAGTGAGAAGAGATATATATATATATATATATATAGTATTTTTTGTGTATATATATATATCTTATACGTGCCGTGGTCTACAGAGTTCGGTCGCCGGAAGTGACCTTTGCCCTACTACTTGTCTCCCCGCCCCTCCCCCCGGCCCCTGGATATCTCACTTCTGTTTTTTCTTTTTTTCAACACCCCGAAACGTGACTCCCCGTCGCGTCTTCCGTCGACGAACGGTGGTGGTGGCCCCTCGAGCCCCGAGACCCCGCGGTCCGACTCCCTTCTTCCGCTTTCACATCGATCCCTAAAGAGAGGAGGTAGAAAAAACAGCGAAAACGACGAGAAAGGCCCGCGACTCAATCGCGGGGCCGCTTTATTACTAGAAATATTACACGATAAAGTGGCGCGACGACCCACCCCCGTTCAATCAACCGTCCGCCGGAGGAGTCGGCCACCGCTGCCGGGGATGAAAGGCGTCTCGGCGGGGTCCCGGGGATCTCGAGAAGGCGCCAAGGGGAACTCTAACTGGGAACTGAAACGACTACCGGTTGAGGAAGGTCTTCGAAAGGTCTCGAATGAAAGAAATATCGGCGCCCGCCGTCGGGTTTGGGCGCAATCAGATTCTTAGAGATTTGGAAAACGTCGCCGAAACGAGGAATCGGAATTGGTCGAACGAACCTGATCGAGCGGTTGTGTGTTCGATACGCGATTTTTCTCTCTCGCGGTGAAACGAGGAGAGAACTCTACAGTTTGGCACTGATACCCGTCAGCTTGGACTCGACTGTGATGTCGGGGAACGAAGGAAAGTCACGCGTTTCTTCACGAGGGCGAGATTATGGCACGTCGAGCGTCCTACTTGGAACGATTTTTCGTATCCCGCGTTCAGCAGGTTTTTAAGAGAAAGAAACGAACGAAAGGAAGAGTGAAGTTACGATGCGATTATATTAGATAACGCCCATTAGATTTACTGTCGTTCTCGGGGGGTAAAGACTTCACTTCCGGTGCCAGGCGTGAGGCTGTCGCCTAGACTTACGTCGGATAGCAGAGCAAGAACATGGGTTTAAAATTGTTAAAAGATCGACGCCGTTAGGCATGCTATACAAGTAGCTCGATTTATATTCATTGCTGTCCTATCCGAGAGCCTCGAATCTCTCCGGACGCATTTTTCCACGTTTCGTCATTTTATCTAATTTGCTCCATCGTCCCCTGGGATAGACCCACGGATTGGTCTCTTCTTGATCTATCCTTGGGAACGATTTTCACAAATTGAAACGGTCACGCATCGCACGCCCAAAAGGAGCATGTATGTCATGGTTAATCGGAGTCCCAATGAGATCGTCGGCGACCGATTCACAGATTTTCATCGACGTCGTTTCGTTCGGCTCTAGTGAGACGGCGTCGATGAGAACGTTTGATAAAGTCGCGGTGATCTCAAGGTGAACCAGTTTAAAGATATAACGTGTATAATACGCGTAAGAAGATTCGTCGTGCGCGATTTGAAGCTTGAAAATGCCTCGCGAGATTTCCGTGCCCCGTCGAGCGTGCCGTTTTCTCTCCGGGAACCCGATGAACCCAAGATCAGGCGAACGAGATTTTTAAAAAACGTCCATCTCGGATAGAGAAGTTAAAATCCGTGGAAGAAGTCGAGTTGAATAAATCTGAAGCTAAAATTCGTGATCGGTTTAAAGAGAAACCCCGATGTTTAGAACATTGATAAAGATTCTCTCGAGCGAAGTGACAAATGATTGCTGCGAATGAACGGGGGAAAGGGATCGGTAGACCGAGTGTATCTTGGAAACGTTGGTCCGTGATCAGCGCCGGTTGAGCCTCATTGACATTCCGCGATTCAGAATTGATAGATCTTTACCATCTCGCGTTGGTCAATCAGGATTAGCCGGTTCACGATCGAAATCATCGGGTTTCTGTGTGTAATACAAAACATCCGGACAGAGTCGTTAAGCAACGAGGAGGTTTCGTTGACCGCGAATAAAAACGTGAAAACGACGCGCTCGACGTTCGATGATGCGTTAACCCGTTCCTTTCCACGCACCGCGAGAACCGTATCATCGTGGATCCTCGTGTTAACCATATCCGACGTTAGTGATGATCGTCGATAATAATTATCAATAATTAACCATAGTGATCAATAACCATAAGAATAATTATAATATTAATCAATTAATTTATAATATTGTATATATATATATATATATGCGTACATGAAATAAATTCTTCGATATAACTTACGACTTACTCTTAAAGCTTAGCTGACGACTTAAAGATTTAAGTATCCCGCCACCATTAATTTTTTGTGTTTGTTGCCCGGGGGAGAGGATGCCCGTGCATTCACCCAGGGCGGACTCCTTAAGAATCTAGTGAATCCTAAAACAGGAAGCTCCGCCGTACCGACAGGCCAGCTGCCTTCTTTTTCCTTAATTTCTCTACGTTACTTTTATTCTCCTCCCTCCTCTCGTCGCCTCTTTTTACTGCTACACGCTCGTCGTCCTACCTATCGCTCACACCTCGTTCTTTTAACTATGCGCGTGTGTACATTCTTTTTATCTTTGGCGGAGACTGCTCGTCCGTGGTTATATTTTTTTTTCTCTCTTGCCTCGATCGTTGCTCGCTCGGAAAAAGCAGATTTCCCGTTTTTCTCTCGCCGTATCCGGTCCGAGATGCGCGATCGCGAAGCTACGTACAGCTTTTCTCTTACATAGAAATCACGGATAAAAATTGCTCTCCCTGTCTACGCGCGCGACGCGATCGTTTCTTCGTTCTCCCATTAAAATTACGATTTTGGTTTAATATACCTCGACGATACCTTCGGTTTCGCCCTGCCACGAGCGTAGACACGGAGATCCCTTGCTTCTCTCCCTGCGAGCGGGTTCCTCGGTCAGAACTCGCGTCTCGGTTCCTAGGTGGCCGCGATCCACCGATCGGAGAGCGGCAGGAGGAGAGGGTCGTCGCTCGAGTCGTCGTCCGCAGGGAGGAAGAGGATGAATGAGACGAGAGGGCAGCGACGGGCGCGCAGCTCCTCCCGCGAGGAGAACACGCATCGCCTCGGTCCGAGCGGAGCCGGGCGACCCGTCGTCGACGTGCTGCACCTCCATCGTCGCTGGGGACACCTGTCGCAACAACGACTGCCGGGACGCGCGCAACAAATGCGTCGACGACGACGGCCGTCGTTCTTTCCCCCTCGTCGACGGTCTTCCTGATCGCGACGGCGTCCACTCGGCTCGTTGAACGCCGTGACAACGACCGGGGTGGAGAGACGAGCGATGGTTTCGATCGTTCGACGGTGGCGGCTACAGCACTGGGCCCTTAACACCCATCGTTGCCACCTGGAAAACGTGCAACGCATCCCTCACTTTTTTTTTTCGATTCTCCCTTTCATTCACGCTCTCACGATTCCCCAGATGCACACAGATAGCGATGATCCTTCGCTGACGACAACGTTTGTTCATAATTTGCAATAGTTGAACGTCTTGAGTCGATTCTTATTTGCCGACTTGCATTCCTTTAGCTGGCAGTAGTATGAGTCAATGAATGCAGCGACTGATATTCGTATTACGTCTGGATTTCGGCGAGCAAGACGTTCAACGTGAAAAGAGGATTTCATGAAACATTGCGAAAGGTCCCAAAGCGAAGCGTACGAAATCTAGGCGGGATCGTTTGATGGCCAAGTTCCCCAAAGAACAGCTAATTTCGGGGAACCAACGGCTTCAAAGCTCATGGATGATTAGCCAGTGGAAGAGCGGTGGTGATGTTTAAGGCCTCTTTTAGGAAACACGGAGGAAACAACTGTGCAAGTCGCGGGTGTTTATCGATCTCTCTGTCGACTCTGTTGGCCTTCGCGTTTAGCATGCGAATTTATTCGAACAGAATCATCGAGTTTCTCTCGCTCAACCCTTCAACAGTGTCATCAAGGAGAACTAGTGTATAACTTTATTTAAAACTGTCGAAGGGTTAATTATTCTGTGGCGAAATTTCCAAACGAGTTCTATTACATTCTACCATCTGGCCACGGGACAAAGAGAAGTCGCAAACCAAATTTGTTAGTTGAAAATAAGTTTCCCTTTTTTCAAGTTTTCATCCTTTGGCTGCAACGATTACGCGATTCTTATTATGAACTCCGGGCTGTTAATGGTTGTCAAGCGTTCCTGGCCATTTTCGGTGGCCCCAGGTCTGACAATAAACGGCCACAACTACTTTGCCTCTAATTGCATTGAACCGCGGACAGTTACCGTGAAGACAATATCGTTCAAACTTCGATGAATGTTACCGAGTTTGGCAGAAGTTCGCGGAAAGCTTCGGCCTCGATCTGATATACTAATTTATATTCCAAGCGAGGAACGCGACAGCCTCATAGTCTACGTCAAAGATTAAATTTAACGCGAAAATCAACGAAGATCATATAAAAATTGTTGCAAATCGCTAAGACCGTTTCGTGTGCTGCAACGAAAGGATGGAAAACCCCGTGTGTCGTCAACGAGGAACGCGGCCGAATAAATTGTTATTCCCGGAACACTCGTGCAACACGAAATTACGAGCCCCGGGGTGTGTTAGCTGCGGACCATCAATGTTAATTGAGAGCAAATAAACAAGAGTTAATGGATTACATGGTGAAGCAGAAAAAAAAAAAAAATAGAACGGGCAACAAAAGCTATCATTCAGTGCGGTGAACGTGCGTAGAGGAATGGAGTTAATCGGTGTACAGTTCGAGAGTTGTTTTCGTTTACAGTAATTACGATACACGATCACTCGTGGAACTTGTTTTCATTTATTCCCCGTAATCGAAAGCTACTACCTCCAACGAAAGAAGAAAATCTCAAACAATTCGTCGAATCGCTACAGAATTCTTTAGCTTCTTTAGCTACTGTTCTCATTGTTTTCTTTTTTCTGGACGCACGGCTCGCGGAACGGATTGTCCCTTTATAATGTTCGAAGCAGAGACCGAATGGATTTCGAGACACTGTCCGCGCGCGAGCCGTGGATCCTGATCTACGAGAAGAAGCAAAAAAACGGAGCAAAAAGAGAAGAGACGAAAAGAGAGCGTGGGGAGCTCTCCTCGTCAGTATTATCCACGTGGGTGTGATGTGTACCTTGATTGGACGAGTGTGAGGCTCACGATTGCGGTTGCGGCGTGTTGTGGTCTCGCTTGTCTCCCGCAGGAGTCGGCGGCTTTATCACTGGCTTCTCCTCGTTTACCGGCGTGGGCGGCGCGTCCTTTCTAGGCGGCATCCTTTCGTTTATAGCGTCGAGACCCTTCGCCTCGGCGAACGAGGTGATCTTATGGTTCGGCGAGAAACCTTGGAGAGCTGTAACCAGAAACGAGTTCGAGGTTCAAATAGGATTGATCAAAAATTCGAGGCGAGGCAAGTCGAAATTCAAGATTGCAAAGGAAAAATTCTATCTTTAAAATTAAATTAAATTCTATTAAATTTTCGATTAATTTAATGTGAAACTCACCGTTCTTTAATGATGTCTTGCCACCTGATAACGCGCCAAGAGGCAAAGCTCCAGTGGGTGTCAATCCCTTCAGCTGCAACACACTCTCGCTCTCTTCTCTGAAAGACCGAACACGACGATGAGGTAATTCATATTCGTTGGAAAAAATAAATATGGTAATCGTGCGCATCGGATAAATCGAACACGGATTTCGTTCGCGAGCCATTTTCCCATTTTCGTTTCTTGCTCGACCGAGAGGCTGTTAAAGCAATGATCCGCGGCGGAATGAACGTGGGATTATTCGTAAAAAAAAAAAACGTTTTCCACAGTACGATTTTTCACCATCGACCATCCGCGTCCGTGCAATTTATCAATCGTAACTGAGGCCTTAATTAACAAATACGGCTGATCCGAATTTCCGTCTAATTAATCGTCGAACGTTGTCGATCACTGACCTTAGGACGGAGAAGACGCGGGCCATCTTGCCAATGGCTCTGATCTTGTTTCTGATTACCTCCTTGCGTAGATTGGCTGCTGCACCTAGAAAAGTGATAAACTCGGTCAGAACGATCTCTCCTAACAACGGAACTTCCGTTTTGTTGCGCGTGATCAACGAAGTCGCGAAGGCATCGCAACAACGGGTGTTACAACATTAGCAAGTCACTAGATTCTAGATAAAAATCATCATTCAACGTTTCACACATAGACGTACTACGAAAGCTTGTTCACGATTCTTCGCGAGATCTCGATCACAGGGTTCACCCTCGCTGCTACTGCGCGGGCGAATCGAACTTCTGGCTATTACTACTATTATTCATACCACAGCTTACCAAGTGATCATGTTATTTAGAAATTAAAAAAAAAAAGAAAAAAATAGAAGAGTCACTCGTTATTCTCGGGTCTCACGACAAACAACAACGGCAAAACTACAGCCAAAGAACTCGGTGCACGCGACGAGCGTGTGCGTATTAATCTCGATGTACCAAATTGTCAACTCTATTATTTCTATATAAAAGTAACTCTAAACGATTGTCAGAATATCTTTTCATCCGGCTTCTATCCTACATTTGCATAAATCTTATCGAATCGTCACAATTATTCCTCCTCGATTTGCATTCCTTGATCACGAATAAATGCAACGAACAGAATACGAAATAGAATATTAAAAAAGAAAACGTACACGAAAATCAATCTGGCTGACAATTTAAGGATGTATTGGCTATACAGTCAATACCAAAAGTTTATGTACCTTAGAAAAACGCATTTCCTATAATTAAAAAGAAATCAGACGTCGGAAGAATAATGCTAATAATAAATAGCTACGTGCTAAAAAGTATAGAAGGAAATATCCAATTAAGTATTGACGTTAGCGAAAAATTTTTACATGGAAATTGTAGATCTCGTCGTCCTCTACAAGAAAGGTAGTATACAATTTTTCCGTACATTCAATGGTTTGGGAGTTATTGGCGAAAAACGAAAATTTGGAAGAAATTGAAGGGGTACCCCTTGGAAAAATCTCGGAAAAATCGAAAATTTTTTGTTGTTGTTTATTATTAGCAATGTTCTTCCGGCGTCTGATTTCTTTTTAAAAATTGCGTTTCTAAAGTGCATAAACTTTTGGGATTGACTGTATAGCCAATACATCCTTAACTCGATACCCCACCGCCTTACCTGACGACCGAGAAAGAAATAAGAAAATAAAGAGGAACCCCGTTCGATTCGTAAAATCGTATATCCATATAATACAATGTACATAGTAAAAATAGAGAGAGAGTGCACGAGGATAATAGCACAAGCTCATTGCATATATAATGTAATGGTGCACACGTCTCGATTCAAACACGCTTGTACGTATTCAAAAAACAGACAAGCCTCGTTGCGCGGCGTACGGCGAGGGTCCGAGAACGAATGTTCATCTTACAAAAGCCTCTTTTACTTTAATGCTTTTCATGAATTTCAAATTCGTACTACGCACTCGGCATTGGCTCTCGCGGTACGTCGCAGTAACTGCGTCTACGTGCATCGCCGACACACAACTGCATAATCACATGCAGAAAAAAATATTAAAAAAAAAAAAAAAAAAAAACGAGAGTATAATAGAAACACGGTCGATGCAAGAGAAAGAGGTAAACGCATGCACATGCAGGTCGGTCGCGGGTAAACGTACGCACCATCGGTCACTACTCAGGTGCTTTTTAATTCAAATGCTGTTTACCAGTCGCCGTTTTTTTTTTCGTATACTCGCTGCTACTTTCCTACTTCCTCGTTCGCATATATATTTCTTTTTTTCTCTTTTTTCAACGTGTGTACTTGTGAATGTACGCGTTTACTTTCTAGTTCTGTAATCCGTGTGTACCAGAATTTCTATACGTTGCTTTTGATAACAGAGCGGGCTCTGCGTGCTGTTAAATTTCTAAAGCTCGGAAAAAGCTTTTGCTTTTATAATTCTAGGACGCACGGGTTACGGGCTAAGCCCGTTCTTTCCCGCGATAATATTTGCAAAATAACTCGGGAAAGAACGAGCTTGCAAGCAGCAGTCTACGGGTAATCAACTAAGCTATCGAATAGTACTCTAAGGATTTTCCAGTTCAGCTAGCTAAAAAAATGTACGTTCTTTATTTCAGAAAACTAACAATCACTTTTTGTTTGTTTCTTTTTACGTATCAGATACTATCTGTTCGTTTTCAGGAGATCGATGGGAACGAGTAAGATGTACATTTTATTGTATTAGTGATACCTCTTGGGAGTCTCTCTAAGATATTTAGCTTGTTCGTTCTATGAACCAAAAAACATTTCACATTTTGGAGATCGACATACGTGAGAATATCGTCCCGGTGTCGTTGTGTTTCCGCTTGCCTAAGCTTTCGCGAGTTAAATTTGCGGGTGTCAGGGCTTGCGACGCTACAGCAAACCGGGTAATTTCGTCACTTCACACAGAAACAAAAAGACAGACTCGGCTGTTGCCGGCGAGAGATCAGCGAATTAAGAGATTCGTAGCTTTCCGTAGGAGATCGATCTTTCAGGACGGATTTCTCACTCATTTTATTTGCAAAATCTGCGCGCGTGGCTAGACGCCGCGACGGACGGAAAACGTGGCGACGCGCATTTCATTTTCTCGTAATCCGCAAATCGCGTGGCTTGCGCCGCGTGGGAAAAGATTTTCTGCGACATGGCGGAAGAAAATATTTCTGGAATATCCTGCGACGCCCAGTTTTACCCCGGGAATACGGCCGCGCGAAACGTCAGCGTGAATTTCGCGTTCGTTCCTTACGAGTTGAATTTAGAAACAAGAATACGCAATTTGTTTTTCGCTGGCCGGGAGTTCGAACTCGATAGGCTTCGTCGAAGCGTATTTTCATATTATGAATCTGGAGGATGATTTGAGAAAAAGTACGACTCGACGATAACGAGAGATCCTCGGCGAGATAAGAGAGAACAGTGAGAAGTCGAGTGAGTTAGGAAAAAGGGGCGCGCCTCGCACCCTCGATAAAACGAGCGCCTCTCTCGCAGGCGTCGCAATTTTCGTTTATGCAAAAACGTCTGAAAGGACGTAACACGGACGAAGAGATGTATGTACGTGTCAGGGGGGATCTCCGACTGAGGGTGGCAGACAGACACTTATCGATCATCCTTTAGCATCCCGTTTGGCTTTCGCTCGAGAAGGACGATGCGGCACATACAACGTCACTACTAATTTGTACAACAGATCAAGCCTTTGCTCTCTAGACATTTACGTGTCAGCGCATGATTATGCACTCGCGTGCCGCAATGGAATCACGATATAAATTTACACGATGCTCTAATAATGTTCCATGGAATATTCATTACACGATTACAAGCTTACTTGTTATACTCCGTTTTTTATTCAAATAGTCGAATACGCGATTTTAGAAATTTGGTCATTGGGGCGATGCCATTGCGGCAGCGGTACTACCGAGCTAACATTTATCATAGGGTATTCGAGTTTGGCACCGAGTCGCAGAGACGGAGATCCATCGTCCGTGGGGGATCCGGCGCGTTTTCAAAGGGATGACGCACGATCGGGTCGACCGAGCGGAACGGAACCGTGAGATGAATCGCGCGGATGATCGCGCACTGTTCGATCTATCAGTCATAGGATAGGGCAGATCTGTGCTCAAAACATGTTGCACAGGGCCACTAGATGCTCTAGGCTCTAGAATATCACTGACTCAGAAGCGTATCTAACAGGCGTAATTCACTCTTCGAGCTGACCAATCGAACAGTTCTCGACAAACATTCATCGTCAAAAGTTTATATTAAAACCGTAAAGGTTTTATGCATTTGTAAAAAATATGTGCATTTTATTTAGATTTTTTTATAAATATTCGAGACTGCATAAAAGACTGCGGACGCGACTCAGCTGGAAGAGTCGAACGTGGGTGAGAAAAATAGTTTTGAATACAGGTCTAACAAGTCCGCGTGACATTTTCCTGATGGATCTCCGCGTCCCTTCGATGCATACGCGTCGCCAGAGACTCTTTCACTCGCGTCCGTCTTCGTTAATAATACTGGAACTAAACCGGAAATAGAGTTCTCTGCGAACGCAACACCGTGGCTAGACTCTGTTTGACAATTTGCTAATCACGGCGACGCGTATGCGGTTCGACTTGATCGATGCCCCACGCGGTGTCGCTTATCAACAGTAGGAAGCTTGACGAGTCCAAATGGCAAACGTGATTCCGCCGAGGGACTCGCTTCGGATCACGGCAAACCGGGAGGAGTCGCTCGACGGAGTCTATTGGATGCTGGACGTGTTTCCTATGTGTTCATTTGCGTGCTCGGTTCGTGGAGGATCCGAGCCGAGATCTCGTGTGTTAATAACCAGGAACCTCGTGTTCTTCGACTGATCAAGTAGTATAACACAGTCGTGGTCAGACGGATACAATCAATTATGGCAAGCTTTCTTTCACTGGCTTCGTGCATATGCAAGATGCGTACATAGATTCGTTTTTCGGGCGAGGGTCCACGAGATCTGGACCAGGTGAGAGCTCGATGGGTCCTCCACGATCGAGATCTAGGCGCACTTTCAACAGAAAAGAACTCACCGTACGCGATGGTAGGTGGGGTCGTATTCGGACCAGACCGCCGGGTTACCATGGCGGCCATGGTGACCATGGTCGTTTTACCGATGGTGAGCGTGGACGTAAGTAAAAGGACAGAAGTAACCAACAATGTGAGTGCAGCGTCAAATGCGGCCGAAGAGAAGAGATAGAGAGAGAAGCGGAGGTATATCGTTTTTTTTTTCCGATTGGTCGTCCCGATGGAAGAGATTCGAATAGCGTTTTTTTTTTTAATATATACATAGTGGTTGGTCAGTGATGGTGGTTGGCGAAGGTTTGTCGAATGTGGCGTAAGAGAAAATAACACATAGAACAGACAAGAGAAAGAGTGCACAGCGTAAGTGGCATTCAAATCAAGCGTTGGTGCGTTAGAATTTTTATCAGACGATTCCTCGTCCTGTACAAGGTATTTCTTTAAAGATGTTCGAATCGTCTCGTTGAAAGTGCAGCTCGAGTTGCTTGTTGCATATTTGAAATCTAAAGCCTTTCGTAGGAAGAAATACCTTATAATTTTTCATATAGGCTGACTCAGAAACAGTGACTGTAAAACTACAGAATGATCCTATTTTATAACTATGAATAATAATTTGGCACTGTTTCTGATTTATCCCCCGTATGAAAATACTTAAGATTGTTAGAAATGCTGACGCACAATCGTGAATCATTCACAGTTTTTAAAACAATCAATGTTCTTAATGAAAAAAAAAAAAGTTCAAATCATGATTAAATCTCATAAGTAGAAATCTATGAATATGGTATTAAACTAGGCGATTACTTTGTACGCGACTATTAACATTTGTCTTCACTGATTCATCGAAATAATTAACAATTATTACCAAACGCGTTCTGATTACGATACGTCGTTAAGTTATTGGAAATAATTGTGCGTGGATAATACAACACACCGCTATACAGAAGCTACCTGCAAAAACTGATTAAGAAAAACGTTTGATTAATACGTCGGCCATCGATCGTCCCAGGATTGTTTCGTGATTTATCTTTCCAATCGTAAATTCGACAGTTTATACAGAAAACAAACGGCGTGAATTCATAAAAAATCCGAAGGTATTCCTCGACGATCGACGAGTCAATTCAGTAAAGCTAGCTTGATGGAAACAAATAAAGTTACTCGATTAGTTTAAATCTATATAATTGTACTACTAGACACTAGCATGCGCGAGAAATGAAGAGAAGGTGGTCGCAAGAGATCGTAAAAGAAATAAGAATGAATGTAAATCGGGTGACACGCACCCTCGGGCGAGTTAAAGAAATTAACATGCGCGGTATAATCGAAAAGATACAAAGGGAAACGATTGTTAAAATGATAAACGAAAACGATGGTTAAAAGAAACTCGAGCGAATCAGGGGGAGACGGTCGGAATAAAATAAAATGTGTGAACGAAAAAACGTTCTTTCCTTCCTTTGTCCGCAATATGCTCAGGGAACAGAGACGGTAGGGTCGATGCGTGAAGAACGGAGATAAAGAGAACGTTCTCACGAGATTCCAGAATAAAGGAAGTACGATATTTCGTGGCGTTGATTCTCTCCTATAATGTGGGGCGGGGGTGTGCTAGATACGGTTCCTGGAGGAATATTCGTTGGACCTTTGGGCGCCGTTCGCGTTCCAGGAAAACGAGGGTGTATAATTCTCGGATCAATTAAATGGAAGCTATTTTTAAAGCTCTCGTCGGACAAATCGCCTATCAGCTTCAATCTGACGTCAGCAGAAAAAACAGATTATATTTGACAATATCAATTCGAGTAATTAATCGGAGTACAAACTGTGGTTGACGAACTTAAGATCGATTTTATAATTAATAATTGATATTATTTTTTATACCTCGTTTCTCGTTTCGCGCGAGGACGGCGGAGATTGTAGAAGCGTGCACAGGCTGAAAAAGGTTTAGAAGAGCAGCGTGCCAACGAGATCCGGATTTTTGTACACAGGAACCCAGGAAAATCGTGTCGAAAAACGTCGGTTCGGTCTCATCCGTCACGTAGGATCGAAAATATCCAGGAAAAATCGCGCGAAAAATGGAGAGGCAAAAAAAGCTCCGTTCCGGGAGGTAAAAATTTCCAGATAGAGTTTCCGCACGGAAGAGGACGGGCGAACAAAAGTGATTCGGAGTAATAAAGAAAACACGACGGGGCGAGGTGTGAAATTCTTCAGTTTGAGAGGCCGGGAGGTGGTTATTTTCCTTTCCGCTTACGCCTGCACTTAGGTCTCTTCTAGCTAGAAAAGCTAGCTTCCATTTTGGATCGGATGAAAAGGGTTTTTCCTACGGGCTATGGGGATCTTTAACTTTCGATGGAAGAACCGTGTCAATGAAGATAAGAGCAGCTTCGACTCGATGGATCTGTCTCGGATTTTGGGAGTTGTGTCGCTGATGAGTGAAGAGTAATGAACGCCATTGTACATCGGCTCAACGATGATACATCGACGATAATAATCGGCTCGATAATCTGTCACATCTTTCGCATCGAAATAAGATCTCTTTTCTCGATTATGAAAATTCCTTTGAAAAACGCGCTTCGTCTCGAACATCGGCTTCAGTCGCGAAGCGTCATAATAAAATGCAATTCGTTTAGTTCTCGGGTTCTCGCGGGTAACAGGTCAAAGGTAATTCGACGTTGTTCCACGTTAAATTTCCGTGGCCGGCTTTACGCACGAAGTGTTCTCGCCAGTTTCGAGGGTTCTAATACTGATTATAATTGCATCGGAACTCGGAGCGAGCGGATTCAACGTGAAAATTTTAGAACCAACATCCTCTGTCCTAATTACCCCTAAGGTCCTTTAGAAATCTCAGACCATCTCTACTCGTTCCGTTTCCATCTAATTCGCGCTACGCTTGTTCGAATTACCTTTATTCCTGTTTTAGCTCCGAATCTATCTGCGATTTTATGGATTGATTTTGGAACGCGGTTTTAGATATCTGTAACTTCGATTTTGTTTCCGTTCGTGGAAATATTTTATTACGACCGAATTTAGGACTTAACGCGTTAATTATTAATTTAAAAAAATCTCCTGGGTAAATCTCAGAGATTCTATTTATCGATTCCTTATTTTTTTTTTTTTTTTAGAATTGTAACAAACGCGGCACGCACTGACGTTTCGAGTATACGTTGCGTCTTTTAATCGTTTTCACCGGGGAGGCGATTGTTTGGGGATCGGATAATCGGGCGGAATTTCCAACGGCTTGTCGCGCGGATTATTTTCGGCCCTCCAGCACGATTCGGTTCTGTTGAACGCATCGAGTAATAAACAAACGGAATATGATAAAAATTACCGCGCAATTGCCCCCGTTGGAAAATTCATCGGATTGATCAACGATCCGTAATGGAACCTGTCCGCGGCGGGCACAATCATATTTTCATCCTCGGAAATGTGCAAAAAATTGATACGGTATCGACGCGAAACTCGAGCTCTCGAATTCATGAAAAAAAAAAAAAAAAAAGGAAAACCGTTGTGTGTCACGTCGACGTCGAATGCATACGGAAAAAAGAGGAGGCTGACGTAGAAATTGCGCGGCGGCGATGCCAAAATTCGCTGAAACGGGAAATCGTGCCCCGGCGTAATGCGGACCGCAAATAAAAGGCCAGAAAATTGTCCGGAGATTCGCAGAGAGCTGTGCTGCTGATTTTTTTTTTTTTTTTTCACTTCACCTCTGATGTCGGGACACGGCGAAAACTTGTAAATAAAACGGGCAACAGTCGCCGAGCCACAATATGTACACTACTGAATTAATTACTTGTAAAAACCGGTGAAAAAGGAGTCGGAATAATCCAACAGCTACAGTTTTTTACAGCTATGCAGTTTCAACGTCGTGCTGGAGGACTTGAATCTACGCCTACGTTCGTCTAAACGATACTTCAAGAGCTAAAGAAAAATCGCAAAAATCATTTTCTAGAGACGAAAGAGCCATTGAGAATCGACGGACGGTATTTAATTCGTCGCTGATCACAGGACGGGTTCGCAGAAACACTTTCTTCGGGTCGGTTCGGGATCGAGCCACGTGGGACGCGGCCCGATCGACGTGGAAAAAAAAAAAAACGAGAGAAAAAAAGAAGAATAACCAGGCGTGGAGGGGGGAGGGTGGATGGGATAAAACGGCGAATGGACGAAAGTCGAGTGAGATCGGTGAGCGAGAAATCGGTGGTTAAACGCAGCGTGTTCGAACAGTTACGGGGTGGAGAACGGGTGGTGGAGGGGCAGCGTGGTCGAAAACGAGACAGACAACAGAACTGAAACGTTCGCCAAGAAAAGAGAAAAAAATATGTTGAAAGAACGAAAGAGAAACGAACACAGCGAACGATATCGTTAAAGCAAAATTTCGAATCTCGCGACTGACGTGTGTAAATCAACAAACTGAAAGTGGATGAACGAGTTCCGACGGGTCGCAGAATCGATCGTGAAATTAACATGTCGATCGTCACACGCACTTATTTTATCCGGGGACAAAGACACGAAACAAGTGAGAAAACTAGGACGCGGAACGGTCCTCGCGCGGTCCCGCTGACGTTTCCTCTACAAAAAAAAAAACTTTCTCTCAATTTTCTCGACAATTTAGAACAAACTGTTCTTTACTTATTTCGCGAAGTTTACTCGTAACGAAGCTTAGTTTCATTAGTGAATTACTTCAGGAAATTTCCCCGCCGCTGGAACTTCGTTAATTGGAATTTTATCGAGGTAAACTATTCTCTCGAATAAATCAACGCGCGGATATATTTCGTCCTCGACAAAGGGAAGCGTGTAACGTTTTATATTTTCCTCTCGCGATAACGTCCGCCGTCGTTAATTACTGCGCGTTGATTAACAGGCGAGGCGCGAGGACACGTCCGCTGCCGCACAAACAGGAGAAACACTGACAAAAAAAAAGTAGAAACAGAGGCAGAGAGAGAGAAAGGAAACAGAAAGAGAGATGTAAGTCGGAAGAAGAAATCAAAAGGCGAGTTAAATCGTACAGATGTGTACTATATGTGTACGACGATACACATGTACGCATATTTCAATTTCTTAAATTCCAAACCACAGACGGACCAACCGTCCAACGAGAGCGACTCAGCATCGTACATGTACATCGTCTGGGTACACGACAGTTAGAAACCAAAATCAAAAGATAATATCTGACGAAACAGTGGGTTAACTTTTGCTTTGGCTCGTTCCAATCAAGAATATTAAGAGAGAAAAAAAAAGGAGAAACAAAAATCAGAAGAAGAACAAGAGTAAAACTCTCTTTGCGTCTCATCAATGTAAGTCGTCGGCTCTCTCAATGGGGACTTACCGTTCTTTTTTTGGACAACGACTTTCGCTGCGACTATACGGGGGTTGCGTATGCCGAGCAACGGAGTTTTGAGTGGAGTAGTAGTAGTAGTAGAAGTAGTAGTAGTAGTAGTAGTAGTAGAAGTAGTAGAGGTAGTAGTAGCATAGTGTCGTGCCGAGATAGGAGGAGTCCAAGGCCAGTGTGATTGATTGACAAATATAATAGAGAAGGAGTACGATAAAAGACAGTCAAGTGCAACTTCGTTCGGGCTTTATTTTTGTATTTTTTCTTTGCATTTTTCATTAAAATCGAGCACGGGGCGCGGGGGCGGGGCTTGTTTCATTCGGGGAGTGAGAAAGGGGTAAAAAATTCCTAGAGACAGAGAGAAAAGTGGCTGGGGGGGGGGGGGGAGCTAGGTCTAACGACGATCTCTCACGAGATCAACGATCCAGCCGGCCGGATAAACGAATCCCTCTCGGACGTCTCGTTTCTCATCGATTTCACCTACGTGACACCCTAAACGAGTGGGAGTCGCGGGGGCGACCGCTCGGCTTTTCAGCGCTTCGAGATCGATGCTTCCCGTTCCGAGAACGGTTCTCCTGTCGAGCGGGAAACAACGATCGCTTTCAGAGCCCGGCGGATGGGATCGGTGCACGTGTACCGAGTGGTCTCCTGTAGAAAACGGGATTAAAAGAGGGATGGGAGAGTGCGTGGAGAGGTGGACCTGTCGAAGGACGACGGACGTGACATCAGAGAGAACGTGATAATAAATCGGTCACGAAGAACTCGGAGTTGAAAATGGTCAACACACAAGACAAGGTCAGAGAACAAGAAACGAAACGGAGAATAAGAAGAACGAAAGAGAAGGTGCGGAGAATATCGAAACTGAAGTAAGAACACACCGAGAGTACGTTCGCGACCGTCGGGGCTCGATTTTCGTGCAAAAATCGACGTCCGGACGATCTCGCATGCGTGATTCGCGTGAACGCAGCGTTCAGGATGGTGCAATTACATTTATTTGATCCTCGATGCCATTTCAACAAATCAGTCAGACTCAAACGAAGGCAGAAATCATTTGTTTTAACATACAATTTATTAACGACGTGAAAATAAAGATCGATTTCGTTCGATTCTTTACTTCGATCATTTTTTTTTTATTTAAAAACAGCCGAGATTTGATTTCGATGACCATCTTGAACGGATGCACCGAACCAAGGTGATAAAAGTATCGTAGGTATTTTCTACACGTACTATGACTCGTAACGATGCAGAAGAAGAATGATAAAATCTACCGGTGAACAACGAACGAAATAGTTCAGGCCGTGTGCCATCGAATACGTATGGAAATATTTCGTATATATTTATATTTCATCCGTGGTGTGAAAACAAAAAGTATAAGTACACATAGAGTAGACGTGTATACAGAAAGAGAAATATTGAAGAGCTGGAAAGAAAAAAAGAAAAAAAAAAAAAATAGAGAAGAGTATACGTTCGAAATGCGAGGAGATGTACGAGCCACGACATATGGATAGAATTATAACGGTGACAGAGAGATAGAAAAATGTGAGAGAATGGAGAATATCGGCGTGATTCGATCGAAGGAAAAAGAACGCGTGGAATGAAGAAAAAAACCAGGTGAAAAACGATAAAAAATAGGAAGAATGCGATTGTCCGACGGGTGTTTCTTGCTATTCTTTAAATATCGTATTTGCTTCTTTTCCTTTACGTTTCGCGAACAGGAAAAATGACGAACTGAAGGGAAACGTATAACACACGAAAATATTTGATACGTATGTACATCGGGACGTAGAAAACGTAAAAAAAAAAAAAAACGTGGTGATAGAAAAAAGTAGAAATGCCGAATAATGTATCATATAACAGATATGTACATAGAGAGAGGGAGAGAGAGAGAAAGAAAGAGAGAGAGAGAGAGAGAGAGAGAGAGAGAAAGAGAACAAAAATATTCCGACACACCGACACTATCTAATGAAAGAGAATATATAAATATATAGGCTAAAGAAAGAAATCAATATGATCAATATAATGAAGCTCTTAATAATGTGACGATTAGAAGAGTCGAGTGGCGCTTCTTACCATCTGTCCGTGCAGCGGGTGAAAAATGGAAACAGAAAGAGAATTCAAAATCTTTCTCTAACAGTCGAGACTCGCGGGACATGGAACTATTTTCTTTTTTTTTTTCCTTTTCGTCCTTTCGATTCGATTCGTTCTCGAAACGATACACATATCTTATCTTACTTATCTTGATAAAGGGAACGTGAAGAGAGAGAGAGAGAGAGAGAGTGGGTGAAAAGGGAGAGAATAAGGGAACATGTGTAATCATAAAACGAGACTATCGAAGATTCTCATTTTTTCAAAAATCGTGCTTGACGCACGCGTTTTCGGATTGTTTCTCCTTTCTCAGGGCTCTATCTTCTTTTAACGGATACGTCAATCTGTTTTTTAAACCCCGAGGGAAGGTGAGAATTTTGAAAAAGAAAAACAGGTGCGCGGACGGTATATAGTAGCAGGTGGTTCAACGGTAGAACGAAAAGGTGTGGCTCGAGTAAATTTCAAGAGTAACGTTCGTATAAGTCGCGTGGGTGCAGCTTCTTCGTCTGCTCTCATTTCGTTAATTTTATTTTTTTTTTTTTGCGTTTTTTGAAGTATCGAAGCGTGGCAGCAAAGGTGATTAAAAAACGTTCGGTTCGGAAATATCAAGAGTGGAAGCTTTCAGAAGTGAGAACGGGAAACGTTAAGTCGTTTTCGTAAGAAGATAAAACGAATTCGTATTTTTATTTGCTTGTGAGAAGCACCGACTAAATAAATTCTGTTTCTCTTGGCATGCGAATATTTCACGACACGATGACGAAAAAATAAACGTGTCGCTTGTCTTTAAAAGAGCGTTAGCTTCGTTCCTCACGTCGTTTACCGAGGAACGTCTCGAGCAACAGTGAAAACTATTTTCAAAAGACGTGGTACGTTGCCTGTCGTAAGCGAAGTGCGAATCGAAGCTAGAGAACGTGTAAGATAGGTCAGAAGGTAGAAACGTGAGGGGACAGAGAATACATGTTGTTTTTTAAATTCTTTGCGGTCACGCGATCGATCTTCGGTTCGGGCGAACGCGACGATTCAGAAACGAAAAGAATGACAGTTTTACGTTCACGAAACTTGAGTGAACGTAAGATTGATAACGAATCCTCGCGTTCCCGAGTGTCGACGTGGCCTCTCTTAAATCGTGCTTAGAGCACGCTCCAAGTTATCAACGAATCGCTCGACGTAATCGACGGAGAGAAAAGAACGAATTGATAATTAATATTAATCACTCTTCAAAGGGGAGAAACCCTTGGCAACATACACTGTTGATAAAACCGTGGTTAATCGTTCAAGCATCGAAGGAGCACAAAATGGGACACACTCTGATCACGATGTAAGAGGGACCAGTGGACGATATCGATTCGATAGATAAGAAAAGAGAAATAATACGTATAATACGTATAAAGATAGACAGAGAAAAAAAAAATAAGAATCTCTGCAAGAAACGTGATCGTATTAAAGAATAACGTGGAATTAACAAAGTAATAGTCGACATTACCTTCTTCGAGCCCGTCGTCTCCGTCACTCATTAGCTCGTCATCCGAGCAGATGTTCAACACGTTCACCAACATCTCTGTGACTGTGAAACGACAAATATGAAACGACATCGTAATTACGATCGTCATTATAAGACCGCTGACTTTTATTACAAAATAAAACATTTCATCGTTCAAACATTAAAATACGCATTCAGTTTTTACTGGATTTCTTCTAAATATATAAAATCTGCAGTCTATAAATGAATATGCGTAAACAACCGTTTGATAAGGATTTAAAGGGAAATTCTTTTGGGAAATCGACTTACCCTTTTCACCTACAAATGGCAACGACCACGTGAAAACGTCCATGAAGTTTGGTAGCCAGTATGGATGCGGTGAACAGTTGAACTGCCTGATGTTCATCACGTTGTTCTCGTACTTGAGAATAGCCGCCTAATAAATACCGAGACGAAACGAATCATAAAACCCTTTCCAATATTATATATATTGAGTAGTCG